CAAAATCACAAGAGTGATAAGATTTTATCAACTTTAATAAAAGCAATTGCATTTTTTTTTCACAAGAATTATTTTTCATAAAATTCATAACATAGGTGTCTAAGAGTTTTTTCATTGCAATACCAATTTTTCATATCCATAATTTTTTCCTTATCATTTAGTAATTGAAAGTAATAAATTGTTTAATTCCCATTGATTCTCTAAACACATTATTCCCTCATAGTTCTTTTAAATGTCTTCTAATTAAGGAAAGCAATTTCCTTAAACAATAACAAATATTTCACAAAATCTTAAAATTTGCATTACTCTTATTATAATTGCTAATGCATTTTACCATTAAGAAACATGTATCTCTAAACTTAATTAAATCATACACAATTAAGATACAAATCATTTAAAAGATATATAAATTAACCCTAATCATATATTGGTGATATGATTTTAATAATAAAACTTTATTTCTATAAAAGTGTCTTATAATATACTTACAAACAATGATTGGTATACATTCGATTCAACACATCGTATAATACGCTATATAACACACTCATTAAAAAATCACTATTTCTTGATTTGAAACTAAAGGCGGATAAGTTTAAATATACAATTATGTATACAGAATGCAGGAACTTGCTAAATTGGCTATATTTAAATTATATTTTTAATAGTTGAATTAGAAGTGTGTTAGAAAATGTATTGAACCGAGTGGGTACTAATCATTTTCCTATAATTTAATCCATAGAATTAAACCTCAACAAGTTAATTAGTAACAAAGTCATCTTTTAGTAAATATGTAAAAATACTTATAATCCTTACTAATTGCTCCCACTACTTCAAGTTAATCCATACAATAATCACCTTTAGACAAAATATTGTATATACTAATATGAAAGTGCAACTTTATTCCTTAATTTTAATAATTCATATTCGATCTTCCCAATAGATCAACTAATTTTAATGACATAGTAGTCTAATATCATCAATGAGTATGAAACTTTATTAAGCTTCATAATTTTTTTTATTATTATTATTATTATTATTAGAAGTGAATTAATAAGAATGGTCCCACAAAGAATAATCACTGTGAAACCAAAATAAGAACTCTTACTAACCACTCACACTTCTTGTGGTCAATATGCATAATCACCTCATTTGGGCAAGTAATCATACACATTGATTTCAAGAAGTAACATTTCATAATTCTTATTAAGAAATATGTGAATTTTAATAGATGGCCCACTTTGGCAATACCACTTACGTCAATTTACATACTCCCATGAAAACATTTACTTAATATAACATTCTAGAATTCTTATTGAGAAACATGTGAATCTCAATAAATGGTCTACCTTGGTAGAACCATCCACATCAACTCACAAACTCCCATCGGAACAATTACCTATAAATAATGTAATATCTCAAAATTTTTATTGGAAGATTAACCAATCTCCCACTAGAACAAAATTTTTAATATTTCAAAAAATCTTTAATAACAAAAGCCATTAATTCTAATAAATAAACTCTCGATATTCATATTAATCATAAAACATTATTAGGGCTTTCATCTCTATGTATATGGTTCTATAATCCCTTTTAACCATATTTTTTTATAATGATAATTCTTTAATATATGAATTGAGAGAATCTTAAAACTTTTAGAAAGACTTTCAATACTAATTGGTTCTTTTACTTTAATACTCAAAGAAAGTCATATGAAATTCCATTGATATCTTAAATAAACCAAGATACACAAATTCTAAAATTCTTAGAAACTTATCAAATATCTTTTCTTTGAGATTTTAAAAATTTCATACATTGCCACAATTATGCTATCACCAATATGCAAAATAGATATATATAATTATTCTTTGAAGGTAATTAATTGCTAACAAAATTTGTTATATAACCAACAATTTAACCTTAAATTATATATTATGAGTTATACCCAAACTTTAATTTCACAAAACTTCTTTAAAGATTTAAAAATTTAGTCAAACTATAAAATTCATATGCTAAAACTCACATATGAAAACAAATAACTTTATTTTGAATAAAATATAAATATGAGTAAAATCATGTTGACTCAATTTACTCCAAGAGGGGGGCTGAATTGGAGTTCCAAAAATTCTCCTTTTTTTGCAACCACAAAACCAAAATTAAAGAGAGTAGAGAAGAAGAGCTTGCTCAATGATTTATAGAGGTTCGGTCCAACCACTTAGAGCCTAGTCCTCTACCTTGGTTTCACTCACCAAGGATTTCCTCCACACTCTCCACTAACAGCAACAAGGGTGGCTTAAAGGAGCCACTCAATCCTTTTATAAGAAGAAGGGTGTTTCTCTCAAATCTCACCCCTTTACACTTAAACCCCAAGAATCCTCTCTACAAATCACTCTTGAAGGATTAATCACACCCCCAAGATCATTGACAAATAGAACAAGAAGAGGATTACAAGTAAAGATCTCTCAAATATCAAAAACTCAAGTTAAAGCTCATGTAGGTAGGTAAAGATATTCAATACAATGCTCTCTAAAGTTCTTCATATCTATTACCAACCATATTCATAACCCCTTGCTCGAAAATAGTTGTTCCTAGCCGTTGGGGGTCATTAAATGCTTTGTAGGACGCAAAGCTCGAGTTGTAGGATTGTCAGGAGAGCCGGCTTAGCTTCCTAGAACCAGCTCTGCACAGTTGGCTCACCATTTCTGCAGTCGGCTTTGCAGGATTCTGCACATTCTGTTTTCTCCGTAGAGTCGACTCCAAAACGCAAAGCTGGCTTTGCTGGTTTTCTTGGACAGCCGGCTGCAAAAACGTAAAGCCGGCTTTGATATTCCAATTTTAAAAATATTAATTATTCTTTAAATAAGTTGACCATTGTGCATTAAATGCGCCTTTACAGCCGGCTGCAAAGTTAAAGTCGGCTTTGCGTCTTTTCTCCACACACGCCAAACAACGATCCTTTAAATCTTTACCCGTAGAGCCGGCTATAGCTTCTAGAGCCGGCTCTCTGCACTTCCATTTCACCAGAGCCGACTATAGCTTTTAAGAGCCGGCTCTCTGTACATTTTCAATCCTTTTGATCTATTTTTAGTGCAGTCCAAGTTTATTTGTAATCTTTTAGCAACTTACCTACACACTTATAACCAATTAGTCACTCAAATGTGTTTTGTAATCATCAAAATCATAGGTACAACAAATCATACTCAATTACCTTGTATCATTGTAGTTTATCTGGATACAACTTGACTAATCATTGAAACTATAATTCTTAACAATCCTTAGTGCACTTTTAATATATATTTTTTAAAAATTTTCTTAACTTTCATAAAATTAGTAGAAAATAACAATTATACTTTCTTCAAATGCATAATTAATTTTATAGATGGTTTATTAGCAACTACAAATATATTCTTTATATCTAAGTATAGATATTTTATATGCTTATTAGAAACATAATATCACAAAACCTATATGATAAACCACATATGAAGATATATAATTATTCATGAGAATTAAAAGTTCTCAATTATCTACTCATTTATCTTATGACCATAAATTTCCTTGTTAATAGTCAATTTTTTTTTTTTAAATGTTGCAAATGAATAGTGCAATGAGTTTCAAGAAATTTAACCCAAAGATATTATAATATATTATAATGGATAAAACCCATATACCTCCAATTGTGGCTAATCACTTTAACAAAATCTTGAGATCTACAAGATATGCTTCATATTATATATCACGTGCATGATAATATTCACAAAATAATTTAAACCAAAACATGAAAAATATGTCATATCAATAATTTATTTGATACTAACTATATATATCTTTAATCTCCAAATATTGATACATATTTTATGTGTTGCACTTAACATGTATTTTAATCTAGATAAAACAAATTAATATACATATTTACTATGTAAATAATTATTCTAATTTATAAAATTAGACCACTTAATAAATATTTTTTATGCATATATAATAATTAAATAAGATTATATTAATAAATATGATTCACATAAGGTCTAATATGCATTATGCATAAATAACAATACACAATTAACATCAAAAGGTTAAAAAAAAATTCCCAATGCTCAATTGTTGCAAATTACCTAAGTGGCAACACCCTCACGTTGCATTAGATTTGCACAATATCTTATAATTGGTTGTGTCTACACCTTCACCCATTGTGGAAGAAACAAGTCTGTGTTGGACTTTTGGACCATTATTATGCAATTTATTGAATAGTAAAATAACAATATTGGTCTTTCAACTTGCCAATTTAGTTCCTCTACTTTAGCAAAAAGTCTCTTTTTAGTCTTTATTTAAGAAAAAAAAACCCCCTTTTTTTGTCTCTAAAATTTGAAATCTGACTCTTTTTTAGTCCCTCCATTAAGTTTTTGTCTTGTGGCATGTTATGTAAACGGAAATCCCAAAATAGAGAGACTAAAAAGGAATTTTTTTAAAAGTAAATGGGTTAAAAAGGGGTTTTTCCAAAAAAGAGGGATCAAGGAATTCAATTAAATCCATCTCCATATCACATAATCATTCATAAAAATTATTTTAAACACTAGAAAAAGATAGAGGAATTAATAGTAGCCAATCTTGAAATCAATGTCCAACCATTATTATGTAGTTTTACTAAACCTCTTAGGGACAAATTTGCACTAAACAAAACTACTAAAGGACCAAACAGCAGTATTCCCATTAATCGTCCTATCACAATACCTTTTCTCAATTTTCACCTTCTACGTTTTATGTTGGACAAAACTTAAATGGGTTCAATCGCGATTCATAATCTACAAAAGCCTCAAATTTAATTCCTAATTAAACACATACATAACTTAATTAGAAAACCAAAATTGGGCTTCTTAGATTATGAATTATATCTTAACTTTTCTATCTCTTCACTATCATGTCCATTAACAAATTTTTTATTTAATCCTTTATGCTAGGATTAAACAGTCATAACAACAAATTTTGAAACCAACTTGTAATACCCCAAAAATTTCTAGAATAAATAAGTGAGTTAGGGACTAACTTGTGAGGAAATATTATTAGTGAACTTAATGTCAATTTGTGTTAAATTTAAGGGGCTTAAAAAGGGGAAAATTTTGGATAAGGATCTGCTGACATTTTTTTTCTTCTTTTTTCTTCCAGCCCGCGTGTTCTGCTCTTCTTTTCTTCCCCCTGCACCGAACAAAGCCCCCAAGCTGCCAGCAGCCCTCCCTTGAAGAAAAATCGATATAAGCTTGGATTTTTCTCTTCTTTTCTTGTTCTAGAACCTAGAAATCTTTCCCCCTGAAGAATCTCAGATCTGCTCTGCTCTGTCTTCACCGCCTGCTGCTCTTGTTTGTGGGGGCGAAATTCTTCAAATTCTGGTAAGAAACAGCCATAAATCTCCCTTCTCCAGCTTTAATTGCCTTGGGTTTACTCTAATTTTGTGTTGTTCCTTCAATTTTGGATTGATCCCGTGAGTCCCCTGCAGAAATTGCCGCCGGTTCTTTCCCAAACTGTAGTCCGGTTGTGCTAGGAAACTTCTGGTATTTGGACAGCCCTCCAAGCCCCGAATTTGTCCATTTATTTGCTGTCTTGTGATGTCCGAAAATCTGATGGAAATAGGGGAGAAATTTGATAGTAATTAGACCATGATTTAGCTTAATTCAAGTGAGATTTATGTGATTGAGTGTTAATTGACTGCTGTGGTTTTTGGAGAGAAAATCTCGTGAGATTAGCTATGGTTTTGTCAATTTTGGAAAGTGCAGTTACTGTTCACGGCACTGTTCATCATACTGTTCACACACTAATGGCCAACAATTAGCGGGGATTAAATGTTTAGTTTGTGATATAAGAACAAAAGTGGAGATTGATAAGAATAGCACTGTGATTAGGGGTAGTGCTAATGATGATTTCACTTTGAAATTGTGGTAGTGCGGTATTAATTCTTGGATATTTTGATTAAGTTCCTGATCGTTCTGTCAGTTTAGCATTGAGATCGAGTCTTCGGTTTTATGCGAGTGAGGTAAGTAAATTTATGGTAATGCCCACACAGTTTTTAAAAGCATGTTTTGATTTGTTTTTGAAGTGGTGGTGAGACTAAACTCGTTTTACACAAATATGATTGATTGAAATGAAATTTTTATGCTTTTCATTAAATTGAGCATGCTTACTTGAAATTTAATTGATTGTCCTGATGATTTGAAAGTGATTAGTGAATTATGATTTTTCTGTTAACTTCAGCCTGTTTTGTCTCCGATGTGGTCATGTTATTATGTGGTCATGTTATTAGTGACCCTGCTAGTGGGGGTTAAATGCTAGCACATGTCGACATGTTAGTGATAGAACCAGTTCGTTTGAGTGACTCTGCTAGTGGGGATTATACACTAGTAAATAGTGCACCTGCCAATGGGTGGTTTATAACACTGGCTGTGATCTATAGAGGAGACGTCTATTTTGTTCCCGTACTGTATCCGTTTTTCGTGATTACACTTGTTGGCATGCTATAAGTTTAATAAGGGCCACTCCATATTTTACTTACTGATTTTATCTCATAGTTTTTCCTCGCCCACCATTTTAGGAAGCAAAACCGAGGATGAGGAAACTACGGGAAGTGACGAGTTAGAAGGCTAGCCATTTTGAGATTGATATAGATTTTAAAAATAAATCATGCTTTTGTAAGATAGATTTTACCTTGAATTTATGAGATCAAAATAGATTTCGGTCATTAGATCAATTACTTGGATTTAAGTCATTTTGGATATAGAAATAAATTGAGATGTTTGATTTAAATTATTGGATTGTCAGATGTGAATTGGATAAGTTTCGAGCCTTGTGCATTTGTGGGACCCTCTCACGAGTGAACGGCGTCTGCCACGTCCCTGGATTTGGGTTCTGGGGTGTGACACAACTAAACTAAGTTTCAACCATCAAGGAAAACAAATTTTAAACCTCAATTATTCACTAACTAAATTTTAAGAATCTAATTACAATTTAAGATAAAGTAACCTAACAACCCGAAATCAAAATTCCAGTAAGACTATCAAAACCCACAACAACAAAACCAACGGTTTCAATATTTTAAATCCACATATAACCTGCTTTGATACCACATGTTAGAATTTTAAGAATCAACATACGTAAAATTTAGGATATCAAGATCTAATACAATAAATAAATTATATATTTGAATTTGCATAATCAATATATTACTTAATAATCTTCAAGGATCATCGTAATTTAGAATCTCATGACAAAATCTACAAAACAAATATAGTTAATATTTGGGATTTCGGTCTCCCTCTCTCTATTCAACTTCTATATAGTGACAACCAATGGGTTATGCCACTATTTAATTTTACTATTTATAGAGGTAGGATTTTTTGAATGAAGAAAGGATATAACCCATTATAATAATCTTTTGGGCACTTCTATCAAGTAACTCACCTTTAACTCCAAGCACTCTTATCAAAAACTCTTTGTTTTTGCAAACCCAAATCCCCAACAACCACCACCCTGTTTTCACCCCTACCTGTATCTAAAAATGCTTAATCCCTAAATCTCATGGAGTTTTATGTTGGAAATTTTATGTGGACTTCCACTAATTGTATTTTGTTTTTAAATTTGGGTCAAATGAAAAAATTGGTAAAACCAAATAAAGTTATGTATTCCAAATGGGTCTAAGTTTTATCTTAGTTTTATATGATATGATATAAATAGGTGTAGGGCCAATCTAGGTTTTGGTAGTCACTTTACATGGTTTGGACTAGGGGAGATGAGGATTACATGAGGAAGAAATGGGATTAAGAAGAAGACTTTCATTCCCTTAATTTTTTTTCCTTTTTGCCACATACCCAATCTAATGTAAATTTTGATTTTTGGTTAAGGGTGTGATTGGAATTGTGGTTGGGAGTTTTTGGTGAGCCGTATAATGTTTTTAGATTTATGTATGTTTGGTATTTTTTTTTTAGACTGCTTTTTCTAAAAATTACAAAAAGCCATGGTAAATCTACAATAATTTTGTATATAAAACCAAAAGCCACATTTTGCAGTTTTTCAACTATGATTTTTACAAAGAACACTTAATATTTAATATAATTATAAAATTACCCATTAAAACCTAATTTTGTATAATTTAATTACATCGTAATTTATAATATTTTAATAATTATAACAAATCTAAAAAACCTAAATTATTAAAAAATAGTAAATATTATCTATTTTAATAATTATATATTTTATAACATTTTTTAAATTTTAATTAATAATTAATAAAATATACCATATTTCCTCCATAATTCTTTTAAAAAATAAATAACCAAACACCAAAATAACTTTCAATCACAGTTACAACATAATATTGTTCGGCACAACCACAGATACAGTTACAGTTACAGCCACAACACTTCACAGTAATCCCAAATGCACCCCAAGACTTCGAGCCCATCATATTGCTAAAACTCTAAACCAAGTGAGTTAGGTTTCAACTTCAAGAACTTCAATATTACTTTGAATTTTTCTTTTTTTTAATTTTGAACAAATCTAAATTTGAATTAATTTAATTAAATTAATTCTTTCTATCAATTTATTCTGAATCTTAATGAATTTATTTCTCTTGTAAAAATATAATTTTCACATAAATTAATCTATATGCACAAATTTGAAATTATAAGAATTTCAATCCTCAAAATGCAGTAAGTATGTGACCCTTTAGGTTTCTATCATGACAATAGTGAGATGCACTCACAAACCAAGAGCAATATTTAACAACAAATCATGGACACCCAAAGTGATAGAAAGAGTCGATGGCTTTGGCAAACATTCCTACAATTGATACTTGTGTAATTCAATCACTTCGGCACCAATATCTTTATTAAGTAAGATATATGCTATATGTCATTATCCTTGAAACTTGATATATTTTTCTTTGATTAAGATAGATATACTAATTCTTGAATGAGCCTTCATTCATACCATGACCATGGACTTTGCAAGTAGTCCCATCTCAATCAAATAGGCATAGATATCTTCTCTCATAAACTCAAGAGATACAAATCTTATCTTGACTTGCCCATTACTCTCATTCAATTTGTGATGCACCCAATAACTCTATTATTCGTAATCCTTTGAAGTAGCTGTTTTTAACAACATTAAAGTACACGAGTCCTCACAGAAAATAAGGATGATATTAAGTCAAAGGATCACTTATGCTTGCATCATAGTTGAGAAGCTACTAATGGTACATACATAGAGAGTTCTCATGGTGAGTCAGTCCAGTGCATTCACTTTGAGTCACTCACATGTGATACGTGATTCTGTGAGAAGTCTTGCCATCTAGCAAAGTGTCACACATAGTAGTCTTTATATCATTGATGTTCCATCTCAATAACATATATGACCATTGGACAATTTAAGAATGTTGCTAATGCATTATACAATTCTCACTAATAACAATGACTGCTATTACCTTTTGATGCAGCAGATATCGTAAGGACTTTATCAATATTTAATGTACACAAAAGAACAATAGTCAACATTCAATATATAAAAAATACCATAAACATAATAAACATAATCACAAGTTCATAAGATTATCTTGCCAACCTAGTTGAGTCATAGGGCATACTCTAATAGCTTAATAGTATTAATGGGCAATAACCAAACCCCAAAGAGCAAGGGAGAGAAATGAGAGTTTCCTAACCATTTAGGTGCTTTACAGCAAAGAAGTGTCTTTTGTTAATAGTTTAAGGGTTTTTTTAATTTCTGCTTTTAGAAACCAATTAAAGCACTTTTTGACTATTAAATTACATAAAAAAATGAAATTTGATTTTAATTTTAACAACTAACAAATTAAATTAAGACACATAGCATTAATATTAAAATTAATATTAACTTTTTTGTTTTTCAATATAAATTAATAGCTAAAAAATGTATTAATTACATATTTAATCTGTGTTCTAAAAATACAATTTAAAAAATTCCATAGTTTAATTAGTTACCATGCAAGCTTTCCTATGCTACTTAATTGTAATATACATTTTTGTGAGTGTACTTGTCAAATTTTTTATTTTCTAAAGGCATTAAATACTTTGTTTTAATTTTTTCCTTGTTAAATATTTTTAATAAATTTTTATTAAGCAAAGTAAGGGAAAAAAGATAAAATTTAAAAGGTTAGCAGTTGTGTTTTTTAAATTTTTTTAGGGTAAATATTTGGTTTAGTCCTCAACTACCTTTACCATAAATATTAGATATTATCTCAACCTTTTATTTTGATCAAAAATGGTCCCTGACATTTTTTAAATTACCAAACTTAATCTTAGGCCTAGTTATTTTTATTAATTTTCAAAAGAAAATCTTAACCAAAATTATGGGAGGTCCAATAAAAATTTTTACACAATTTTCTTTTAATTTTCATTGCTCTAAAATTATTTTTACTAAATTTTAATTTCTTTATACATCTTAACTCTTCTTTTTTTTTTTTTTTTTTTAATGTTTGGAAATTTTTTATTTTACAGATGAAGGTTTTATGTATATGTTCTAGGCGAAAATCCTAGAATTTGAGATGGATTTTCTTTTATATTTTTTTGATTTATTTTATAAAACAATTTGAATGATAAATAATTTACAATTAAAATTGATTGTATTATTAAACTATTAAGTTATATAAAAAAATCTTTAGGATTGAAGCAAGGGCTTTGCATTGAGTAAAAGGAGGGGGAAAAAAATGAAAAAAGAAATAAACATGTTCTTCGGAGTTTTCCAAAAAATAAAACATACAAATTTTAGTGATATTAAAGAAAATGAAATATATGATTGGTGTTGAAAAAATGGTTTAGGAGGGTTTTTTTTTTTTTTTTTTTTTTTTCTATTTAAGGGTTTTGGTGACTTTGTAAAATTTTGATTAAGATTTTTTATGATGAATTTTTAACATAAATTATCAATAATAAGATTAAATTTGGTAATTTTTAAAAATTTGAAACTACTTTTAGGCCCCGTTTGGTATAGCAGTTTTGGGGTAGCAGTTAGCGATTTTACTTAAACCGCTAAATATAGGTGTTTGGTAAATTTATATATTTTGAAACTGCTACAACTAAAGTGTTTGGTAAAATTTTTATTTAGCAGTTTGAAACTAGCGGATAGCGGTTATGGTCCAAATCGCTAATGGATTGAAAAAACTAGTTTATGTAACTTTTTATACCAAACCGCTAGTGGATTAGAATTTTTTAATTTTATTGACAAGTTTATCCATTTTAATTTTTTAATTTGTGGTCACATTTTTTAATTAATAATTATTTAATAAACTTCAGTTTTGTTTTTTTACCTTTAATAACATTAAGTGATTATAATATTTTTTTTGTATATTAATTTATAATTAAAAAATATATTATCTTAAAAAACAAAATTTGTTAATTAGATAAAATAATTA